GAGCCTAACTCGCGTCCAAACTTAACCGTTTGAGAGTAAAGCGATCATGGGTTCTTCTTCTAGAAATCTTTATGCAGGAATTGGAGAAGGTCAATCAACCTCGAGGCCACCGCTCTTTGATGGCACTAACTACACATATTGGAAAGAGCGGATGAGAATTTATATCCGCTCAACCAACTTTCAGTTGTGGTTGGTCATTAAGAATGGCGAGGTTACTCCAATGAAGAAGGTTGGTGAAAAACTCGTCCCAAAGACCGAGGACGAATTTGATGCCGAAGACATCAAAAAGGTGGAGAACTACGCCAAGGCTATCAATATGCTGTACTGTGCCGTCAATCCTGATGATTATCGTAAGATTTCTTGCTGCACCACTGCCAAAGAAATGTGGGACAAGTTAGAGGCACATATGAAGGTACGGACCAAGTTCGGGAAGCCAAAATTGACTTCCTAACGCAGGAGTACGAAATGTTCAGGATGAAGGAAGGAGAAAAGATCGATGACATATTCGATCGGTTTTCAAAAATCATCAACGACCTTCACGCTCTCAAGAAGACGTACACCAACAGGGATCTCGTGAGGAAAATCCTGCGAAGACTCACACCCGAATGGAGATCAAAGGCAGACGCAATCTATGAATCCATCGGAGTCTCAAATGTCACCATCGACGGGCTAAGAGGTAATCTCAAAACTTATGAATCCACTATCCTAACCCCATCTTTGGATGAACAAAAGAAGAAGGGTATAGCGCTGAAAGCAACCAAGGAGTCCGTGGAAGATGACTCAAGCAACGATGACAACGAGTTCGGACTCGTTATCAAGAAGTTCCACAAATTCATGAAGAAAGAATTTGAAAGAAAAGGAAGAAAGCACGACGGGCCCCCGAAGTGCTATGGTTGTGGTGAGATAGGCCACATCAAGCCGAGGTGTCCAAAAAGCAAAGGCAGCAAGGACAAACCTGGCTTCAAAAAGCAACGCGCCTACATCTCTTGGGGAGGCGACTCCGGGGATGAGTCAACGGATCAAGAAGAGGAGGAAGCCGCCAACCTCTGCCTCATGGCGCACGAAGATAAAACTGACGACGTTCAAGAGGTATGCTTGAAGGCATCAAGTGTACTTTGGTACCTTGATAGCGGATGTTCCAAGCACATGACCGGAGATGCATCCAAGTTCCTACAAATCAAACCCGCTAAAGGAGGAAACGTAGTTTTTGGAGACAACAGCAAAGGAAAAATAATTGGGGTCGGCTCAGTAGGTAAGTCCGAAGACTCGTCCATAGATAATGTCTT